AGAAGGTGACATCGGAACAATCTTAGATTAAGATATAATGATGTGTTGCAAGATTCCATGATTTCCTACTGGTAACTTGACCATAGACAATCTGTGTCACATGGTTAAAGCTGATTCTGATCACATTACTGTAACCTGTTGAAGTAGTTGCAATCTTTCTTAGTAATAAGGTGTTGGAAAGGAATACCTTCTAACTTCCATTGTTTCTAGAAGACAAATAACATTGGGCTTCTGTTATGGCCAAAACCTAGTTAAGTTGGTTTGACGGATCTTTTTCCTTAATCTTGCATGAAAGTGACTTTAGAATATTGACTGATGCAAAACATAGGTGTAGCAGTGTATTTGTTGTTTGTAAACAATAGAGAGATTCGTGAACAGTTTAGGTTTGTGAACCTGTGTTAATCTGAGTCTTGTTATGTTAGGATATAGTACTTATCATAGTTTAAACAAGTCCAAAGGGAAACTTTTGTTTGTTACCATACTTATCTATCTTTCCGTAAATTTATCAACCTTTTAGTTTTTGGATTTTTTTTTTTTATGATAACTGTGATTTATGCCTTGATGGCACCTTAGACAACATTCCCGTATGAAGCTTTTCTTTAGGGAGCCTTCCTATGGTTACCACCTGCAATTGACACCAATTTTGTGGTCTAGCATGTTTCTGAGATTGGAAAAGGAAGATCAATAAAAAAAGATTATGGCTCAGAAATCTCAGTTGTGGAACAATTACAGAATTCAAAATGTTGGTACTAGAGAGAAAAAGGAGGGTGTAGGGTGTTTTATTTGTGGGTTTGTTTGTGTTTTGGAAAATATTGGTCTCTGTCTACTGATGTGCCATGTACAGTGCCTATGTCGAACATGCGTCAAATTGATAACTTTTAAATTGTTTCCACTTACACATGAATTCATTCAAAGGTATATTGTATATCCACTCTGTGCCGAAGTTTAAGCCAAGGGGGCACTGCTTTGCCCATGCTTTCCTTTCACAATCTCCCTTGAGCTTCACAGGTTTTACCACAGAAGCGACTGTGGCGTAGAAGTGATATGACATAGGGGCTTGGGGGCCTTTGGGATCTTGGTGCTGGCAGAGAGGCAATATGTAGTTGTCAAATGGTTATTGAGGTATAGAAGGAAGCCACAATATATGCCTTGGAAGCTCTCTATGTGCAAAGTTGCATAAGTTGGCACTGATATTTAAGCACTCAAGCACTAATAATGACAAAAAAATGAAGTTTGTTATATGAATGTCCAAGGGTAACCATCTATTAGATTATTTAATGGTTGGAAGTCTGAATGCCTTGCATTACTATGCCTTTTCCAACATTTCATTTGCACCACTTTATTGGTTGTAATGGCAATAGCAAAGATGTGCTTTATACTATCTCTTAGAAATATGAAACTTTTAGGCTCCATAAACCTAGTGATTTCTGTTTCCAACTTAATTTCTTCTATTGTTCAGTTTATAATTATAGTTGTGTGCTTTATACTATCTCTTAACCTTTTGTTTTTTTCTTTAGGTTTTGCCATTGCCAAATATACCATTTTTCTGGATCTTGTTCCGTACATATTCTCATTGGAGAGCTCTCAAGGTACGATTAGCACTAGCCTTTTGTTGGAAAGTAGTTGAACGTACTGTTTTTTATCTGGCTAATTTTCATGTTTTACATGTATTATTTAGTATGCTAAAAGACTCTTTCTTCCATAATAATCTTATAATTCTTAGGATTCTTGTAATGTGTGTGCATGTATATATATGTATACATATATATATGTATATATATATATATATATGTATGTATGTATGTATGTATATATATATATATATACATATATATATACATATATATATATATATATTATAACTCATGCTATATAGTAAAGGTGCAACTAAAGAGTTTCTTTAAATGTGCGGATTAACTTCGGATTGCCAAAGCATTAGAAAATTATATATATAAATAAATAAATAAATATATATATATATATGTATACATATATATGTATACATGTATACATACATATATATTATAACTCATGCTATATAGTAAAGGTGCAACTAAAGAGTTTCTTTAAATGTGCGGATTAACTTCGGATTGCCAAAGCATTAGAAAATTAAATCAGCATTTGGCACATTAACTGGTTTGGCAAACCATCTGCTTCTTTGTTATACAAACTTGGGGATCTATTATATGCCTTGAAGTTGTTACAAATTAAAGTTTAATTTTATTTTTTTCACATGTTCTCTAGATATCTGTTGGTTTCTATGTTAATTTGTTTGCCAGTTTGTATGTAAATTAAAGCAGCTTCCAGCAATACATATTTTATTTTTGGGAATCACTATGACTGAGCAACCATACAACGGAATAAGCGGAGACAATTACTTAGTACTAAGTTCACTGAAAGAATTGTCTATGATATAAGAGGCTATCTTACTTCTGTAACTTTATGATGACATGCCCTCTAGTGTTTGAGCATTTGTTTCTTCAGATCAGCATGTTAATTCTTTTGGATATGTGTCCTGTCTCTTTTGAATATTGAACTTTTGAGATCTGCCTAGTTAATTAAGTTCGTACTTGTTCACAATACCATTGATTATACTTCAACATTGTTAATGTTTTGCTGGTTTTCTATCTGAATTCTTTCTGCATCTGTTAATGCTATTTTTCCAGGGAAGTGAGAGGCTTATGCTACTGGTTTCAGACAGTTCAAAGTCATGGAGTTTACTTATTGACAATAAAAAGGAAAGTGACCTAAAGGCTGACTTGAAGAATAGTTGTGAAGATGCTCTCCCCCCTCCCTGGGTACCATGTTCTCACTTTCTCCACCATCAATTAACAGTCTACTTGTTCTCAAATTAATTTGATACTGTCTTGATTAAAACCTTATTGAGACAGCTTCTAGAGAATGATGTTCTATATTTTTCTATTTTGATAAATTGGTGTCAGGAGTACATTGAGTATTTCAAATATGTACTTTGGGCAATTGTTGCACCCGAATTGGCACCTTGAAAGTAACAAGAAATTGTTGTCTGCATGATGAGAAGTTATTTAAAGGGTTTTTTTTATCCCTTTGTGTGTGTGCATATGCACATGCACATGCACATGCACACGCACATGTGTTTTGAGGAGGGACCATCAGAATCTAGATTCATAATATAAGAAATTTGTAATATTTTTTGGTTGTTAAGATTCATTGTGCGTCTCTATTACAACAAAATTTTTCTGGCTTTAGTTCTGTTGTACAATTGTCTCACCAAAGTCTCTATTGCATTCTATGCTTATGGTGGTTTCACTTAATGCCAATTCGATCTGAGTTTGTATTACTTCTTGTCAATACAAGAGAAAATAAATAGGTTATGAAGGCCTTATTGCATTTTCAATAAAAAAAATTAAGATTCCTGTTGGAGAACTTTTAGAGAACAAGATACTTCAGAATGTTGGCAGGATAGACCTAAAATCCGCATGTTCCAAGGATTTGGCTTATTTCTGATTCATCTGACTGATATAACCTAGCTGGTTGGGTTTTGATTGTTTTATAGGCTGGCGAGTTGTTGATGTTCCGATTCTTGCATATCTTGCTGATTCCAAATGTTTTCCAGGAGATACTGCCAATCCAATTGCTCCCAACAGATTTTCAGTCACTTAGAAAGTTGTTTTGATTTCATGATTATACTCATCTGAATAAGTTGCTTATGCCAATATAGAAGAACCTGCAAGTTCAATTGCTTAACTTTTTCTGCAAATAATATTGTGTGATGTGTTTTATCGTTCATGGTTTCTATAGTAACTCGATTTCAACATGTCACTGGTCATTTTTAGCACTTATTTACGTATTGTCCTCTGAACTGATATCTCCTTCCTTTCTAAAGATTTTGCAGCCCTCTGAGGATCTCGAGAGACTTCTTAACGGGGAGGGTATCAAGGACAGCATTAGTTGTTCCACTATCTCTAGTATTTGCAAAACGTATGATCTTGACAAGAATGTTATAGTGAAGTACAGGAATTTACAATAGTTTCTTGAATTGCTTGGTGCATTCATTGCTAATTACAAGTTTGAACTTGTTTTTACCGAGCTCACAACATGCAAACATCTTTTGCACAGCCTATGCATGCGACAAATGAGCTTAAGGCCAAAGTTTTGTTTACGGTAAATGTTTCATTGTTATAAAGTTAAATTGGACGAGGAATTTTTCTGACTCCTATATTGAATATGACAACTGAGTATTGATTGAGTGGAATGTTCTTCCTTTCTAATTGAAGTATCAATTCAAGTTTTTCAGCTTCTCCAAAATTTGTAATTGACTTCATGTTCTTTTGATAATTGATGTGAGATGACTATGCTACTCATGGTGTAATAACAGGCAAGGTGGTTCATTTGGACAGGCTTTGTGAATCCAATGTGTTGTAATCTGTTTGGTAATTCTAAACTTGTGCATCTATAAAGTAATTACTTTTGATCATTGTCCATTTTCTGCCCATATTTAAGATTTACGTATTGTTCATTGAGGCCTTTTTAGATTTTAAAGTGTTTTGGTTGATTATTGGTAGGAACATTTAAATCATGATATGTTGATTTCCACTAACTGCATATTGTTTTTGAGTACCTAAATTGTTGTTCTGATTTTAGACAAAACTAATGCATTAGTTCATATCAAAACTAATGCATTAATTTTTCCATCTCATTCCCTGGATGATTTTAGACATCAAATAATCCACGTTCGATCTCTCTTCATTTCTTATCTTGTTTATTTCAGAATTTGCCTGACTGGTTAGTCAGTTTGGGTAGAATTAGCATGTGATATGATGTCTAATAGTGAAATAAGAGACGGAATTACGTGACAATGATGATAAAGAATGAAGACCTGAGAGGAAGAACGAGAAAAGGATGATGAAATATGTGTGTCGGTCTTTTGGATTTAGTGCAAACATCCGTCCATCTCATGCTACATTTGTCTTGTGATAGTCCTGTGATGAAAATATCTTCCTATTAAGGTGTCGATGGTGAAGTGTTTGGAGAAGTTGGAGTGGCAGCTCCACTGATATATTATCTCTTCCCATCTCTCGTCCTCCACCCTATTTAGCATCGGTGTCATCCAACGCTACGTGACCTGACCCGAAAGCAGCATGCGTCGGCCACCGAAAGCCTTTTTGCTCCTCTTCCTCCTCCTCCTCCTGTCGGCGCCTTGTTCGGGCTCCAGCTCCAGCTCCTTCGTCCCCTCCACCACCTTCTCCTCCAACCTCCGGTTCGCTTTCAGTGAGATCCAGAAGCTCACGTCGCTGATCTCCGGCTCGTCCGGCGTCCTGGGCGGCAACCTCCGCCTCTCCTCGGCCATCCATGACTGCCTAGACCTCCTCGACTTCTCCGCTGACGAGCTCACCTGGACCCTCTCCGTCGTCAATGACCAGCGCGTGAAGACCCCTGCCACCGGGAACCACCGTTACGACATCCGCTCCTGGCTCAGCGCCGCTGTCGGCAACCAGGACACCTGCAAGGAAGGCCTCGACAGCGCCGGCGGCCCCCTCGGAGGCCTCGCTGCCGGCGGGCTCAAGATCGTCAGCTCACTCATTGCCAACAGCCTCCACGAGGTTGCCGCATCGTCGGGCGGCGGGGGTGGGGGTCGGAGGCTCCTGGGGTTCCCGGAATGGGTGTCGGCCGGGGACAGGAGGCTTCTGCAGACGCCGGCACCGGTGGAGCCCGACGCGGTGGTGGCGCAAGACGGGAGCGGGGACTACACGTCGATAGGGGCCGCGGTGGAGGCGGCGCCGAGTGAGAGCGAGAGCAGGTACGTGATCTACGTGAAGAAGGGGGTGTACATGGAGAACGTGGAGGTCAATAAGAAGAAGTGGAACCTGATGCTCGTCGGAGACGGCATCGACCAAACCATCATCTCCGGCAGCCGGAGCGTCGCCGCTGGCTGGACTACCTTTCGCAGCGCCACCGTCGGTGAGCTAAATCCATCTCTGGTTCTACGTATCTTTTCCTGAGGTCAACAAGGACCCCAGCTAAAAACGTCGCCCGGTTTGCACCGACTCACGACCTGTCGACTCACCGTGTACGTGCATGCATGCAGCCGCGACCGGAAGGGGTTTCATCGCCCGGGACCTGACGATCGAGAACACGGCGGGGCCGCAGGGCAACCAGGCGGTCGCCTTCCGCTCCGGCTCCGACCTCTCAGTCTTCTACCGCTGTGGCTTCTCCGGCTACCAGGACACGCTGTACCCGCACTCCCTCCGACAATTCTACCGCGAGTGCCGCATCGCCGGCACCGTCGACTTCATCTTCGGCGACGCTGCCGTCGTCTTCCAGAGCTGCGACGTCCTCTCCCGACTCCCCAGCCCCGGTCAGATCAACACCATCACCGCGCAGGGCCGCCGAGACCCCGACGAGAGCACGGGCTTCTCCTTCCAGTTCTGCAACGTCTCGGCCGACGCGGACCTGATCGGCAACACCGACCGAACGGCCACGTACCTCGGCCGGCCATGGAGGCAGTACTCCCGGACCGTCTTCATGCAGTCTTTTCTGGACACGTTGATCAGGCCAGAGGGGTGGGTGGAGTGGAACGGCAACACGGTCGGGCTGGACACACTGTACTACGCCGAGTACATGAACGACGGGCCAGGCTCAGGGTTGGAGGGACGAGTCAACTGGCCGGGTTACCACGCTATCAGTGACCCAGCGGAGGCCGGCGAGTTCACGGTGGCTCAATTCATCGACGGAGACGCGTGGTTGCCGGCGACCGGCGTGAAGTACACTTCCGGATTGACGATGTGAGGGAGAAGAACGTGTTGACGCAGCGCGTTTGACTCATGTGTGATGGACGTGCATAGTGTCTAATAGTATTGTACTTGTGATTCCTTGGAGTTCATCACATAATAAACGTAGTAATAAGCTTATATATTGATGGTCCCTTTCTTACGGGGCGTCCATTTGCATCGATTCGAGGAGACACTAAGAAAGCTTATATATATTGTTACATAATTTTTCTAATTAAAAATTATTATATTAAATGACGAACATGAGATCTATTACTAATGCAAAATAATATGCTGATCAAATTCGGATGTCTCAACATCAATGTGGGGGTGGAACAAATCGGTCGCTCAATTTTCATGGACGATTGAATGGAAGTTATGTGGTGATATGCGGATGGAATGCGATGGGTTTGCCTTTTTGGTTTGCTTTCTTTTTCCGATAGCTGGACGGAGTCCTGTTTCTCTCGTGCGAATTGACATCCGGTAACACGTAGTCGGAGAGAACATGACATGGATGCCGACTGATGTTGACCATTGACCCGACACATTCATGTACGATTTAGAATAATAATAATAAATTATTACTACATGGATTAAAGGAAAACTAAGAGAATCGATATCAAACATGTTAATTCGGATCAATTTTAACTCCTCAAATCATTTTTTTTATGGTGGATATTCATCTGTTCTGTGAGTGGAGATGCATATGATTGCATTGTGAGTTACTATCTTTCGAGAGGAGACCAAACAAAAACAAACTTGATTACAACTTCTTTACGAATATTCTGCAGCCTCTCTATCGGTGATCTCGTAAGGGAGACACATATCATAATCCTATCTAGTTTAGTAGCCTAAACTAATTAAAATATCTTGGTTATCTTTTACTGTTGTCTCTAGCTATCGTTTGGCTCTTCTATATTGATCCCCTCCCGGTTCTCGTCGGAGACATTGAGCATGACGAGCATTCAATGGGGTGTCTTCGTCACCAACTTGTGCACCATTGTCTCCCTTCCGTTTCAATTAGCTTTTGTTCTCTTGTTGGCCACCACATGTGCTGTGCTCACTTCTCGGCCCATCCCGACTTGTATCTTTGTCTCTCTTCTCTGTTCACGAGCGGCTTGAGACTATTATCTTCCACCTGCCATTCTCTCGAGGGCATTTTGGTTGTGAATGCAAGGGACAAAGGCACCAATATTACTTAATTGCAAGAGGGACACATCATGTGAGAGAAGGCTGTAGGGAAACTATATTTGCATGTCTTTTTGTTTCTCGTCCCTTTGGCGACTTAGATGGTATGCTTTCACCCACTTGATCTTGTAGTTAATAATTTGGATGTTGCTTTTCAATACCAAAGGACTATGGCCTAATTATGCTTCTTCCCATCGATGCATAATCTAAGAAAAACAAAAACAGTGATGGATATAATCCAATGAAAGCTTCTAAACATACATAATCTCATATAATATAATAACAAGTGGACAACTATCAACGTATCACACTCATTCGATCCACATGTTATGTGGGGCTTGATCCCATGGGGTCAATGATATGGTGTCGACGGAGATATCTATATGGACCCATGAGATCATTAGTACTAATAAGAAAATCAATTCGACAAGATCATTACTCTGTAGTCGTTTCCTGATGATTTGTCATACCAAATGATGTAACTCAATAATCCATCATTGTATTATAAAATATTATATGTTAGTTCTTCACGAATTTCTAGTTACATTAATAAGATTTTTAAGAATTCGATAAGCACTATAATTAAAGACTATATTTAACTAGAAGTCGCTCGAGAGAAGTAATCTTTAAAGTGAGTTTTTAGACTTCTAATACCTCAACTTAAGATAGATTAAAAAAATAATCCATTGATTTTATACCCTAATATAATTAAAATTTATTATAATCCTAAAACTTTGTTTGTATTGATGGGAGTCTTATACAATACATTCATTATAATCCAAATCTAATATAAAGTTGGGATGAGGCCAAAGGTGGGTTGGTCATGTTGCATCCTATCATGTATTTGATAGGACCAATTCAAAATGCTCTCAATTTGAGTCAAGTTATTTATGTGAGCTCCAATTTACTTTGAAGTTAATCCTAATCCTCATCGATCCAATGGTTGGTTAGCTCCATCAATACTTATACATACAGCCTAATATTTTGAGATTACTGATCACCTAATTAAAATCTTAGCATGGTATGCTGAGTCTATATCATACACCTATACACCTTGACTTTGTAAGTTTGCATGTCAATTAGTTTAACTAATAAAGATTTTGATAATATATCACAATATCCTAAGTTTAAATCCTGTTTTCGTTGTTTATTCTTTGTAAAAAAATTTATATCATTAATAAAAATATTAAATATTTTCTTGACTGTTTAAACTTTTGAGAATTATGCTGACCCAATCAAAATATTTATAAACCTCTCCTACTATTGTTCTCGACAATTCAGCTTATACATTGTAACTCCAAATTGCCTATAGTTTTCATTCATCGAGAAAATTGTTTTATTTTTTCTAAAATATAAAACCTATTTTTAGTTTTTTTATTTACTTTTGATTTTGAATTGTAACCCACTTTCCTCTCTCTCTCTCTCTCTCTCTCTCTCTCTCTCTTCCTTTCGATTTGGCTCAAAAAATAAAATAAAATAAAATTTAGTAGAAAGAGATCATTCCAATAATTCCTCAATATTATTCAAGATCAGAGACCTCACTTGATAAATTGAGCATTCCAAACAAAAGCTAGCTTTCTCTCACTATGCTCCCAATCACATGTGGCGATGTAAGAGATGGATTCTTTCATCCTTCGCCCACCGATTCACCTTGTCGGTGGTCACTTGCGCGAGCACATGGAAGAGACATCGATAAGGCCTCAATCCCGGATGGACTAGTATGGGGACGATGGAAGAAGGGACTAATAGATGTTCTTGGCGTCTTTCTTGAGAACTCAAGCATTTTTTTTCCCCCAAAAATTAGCGGAAAAAATCAAGTTAGAGAGAGAAAGATTGATTATATAGTAAATAAT